TATATATATATATATATACATATATATATACACGTGTATATGTGTATATACAATGGGGGAAATAAGTATTGAACGCATTCACTTTTTTGTCATTACATTTATTTCCAAAGATGCAATTCATGTGACATTTCTTCCAGACACTGGTATTAACTCAAATAATCCACACATTAAAAGAAATCACAACATTCAAGTCCATATATAATGAATATGTGGAATTAAGTGCAATAACACAGGAAAAAAGTATTGAACACACTATCTGAGACTCGTTTAATACTTTGTGGAGAAGCCTTTGTTTGCAATGACAGCTTCCAGACGCTTCTTGTATGTATTAACTAATCGCCCACACTGCTCAGGTGTGATTTTTGCCCATTCCTCCGTACAGATTGTCTTTAAATCTTGAATATTCTTTGGTGCCCTCTGGTGAACCCTTTTCTTTAGTTCTTTCCACAAATGTTCAATCGGATTTAAGTCAGGTGATTGACTGGGCCATTCTAACACATTGATTTTCTTTTTTTTAAACCATTCGAGAGTCAACTTTGCCGTGTGCTTCGGATCGTTGTCCTGTTGAAAGGTCCAGCCATGTCTCATCTTCATCATCCTGGTGGATGGCAGCAGGTTCATCTCAAGAATTTGCCGATAGATGTTTCCATTCATTGCTCCTTCAATTATATGAAGTCTGCCAGTACCACGAGATGAGAAACAACCCCATGCCATGATGTTTCCACCACCAAACTTCACTGTTGGTATAGTGTTATTTGGGTGATGTGCAGTGCCATTTCTCCTCCAAACATGGTGTGTAGTATGACAGCCAAAAAGTTCAATTTTGGTCTCGTCTGACCAGACAACATTCTCCCAGTATTCCACAGGCTTATCCAGATGCTGTTTAGCAAACTTTAAACGAGCTTCAACATGCCTTTTTTTGAGGAATGGAGTCTTGCGGGCTGAGCGTCCATAGAGGCCATGGCGGTGGAGTGCATTGCCTATCGTTTTCTCTGTAACACTTGTACCTGCTGCCTCCATGTCTTTCTGGAGCGCTTTCCGGGTGGTCCTTGGCTCTTTGAGAACTCTTCTGACCATCTTTCTGACTCCCTGATCAGAAATCTTGCGAGGAGCTCCTGTGCGCGGCCTGTTGATGATAAGGTGATGCTTCTTCCACTTGCGGATAATGGCCCCAACGGTGCTTACTGGAATACTCAGATGCTTTGAGATAAGTCTGTAACCAGTTCCATTGTGATGCTGAGCAACAATCAGGTTGCGAAGGTCTTGAGAGAGCTCCTTGCTTTTACCCATCATGAGATGTGTCTTGTTTGACTACTTGGTGAAAAAACAACCTGTTTATAGGGCCATCAATTAGCATTAACCCAGCTGATGTTGGTTTGCACTTATAGGAAGTACAAAGACTAATTACTTTCAGCTTTGAGATGGTATGGTGCCTTTCCTTGCCAAACTATACAGCTTTCCCATGGTGTGTTCAATACTTTTTTCCTGTGTTATTGCACTTAATTCCACATAATCACTATTTATGGATTTGAATGTTGTGATTTCTTTTTATGTGTGGATTATTTAAGTTAATACCAGTGTCTGGAAGAAATGTCACATGAATTGCATCTTTGGAAATAAATGTAATGACAAAAAAGTTCATGCGTTCAATACTTATTTCCCCCGTTGTATATTCCCCCTGAGTCAGGAGGTTTGTTGTGGATAGACACTGTATTGTGGTTTTGACGCTGTTTCGTGCGGATGTTGTTTTGCAGAGAGAGTTTGTGTTTTGCCTGCATTGATTAAAAAAGGAGAACTAAAAAGAGTTCTTGACCACGAAAAAAAATCATCAGCCATGCGTCTTCTGCATCACACTATACATCAACAATACAAAAGCAAAACGCAGTCATCACGGGTGATCCACTGTGTGGTTTGGCTTAATAAAATTGGTTCCAAGTCAGTAAGCACAACCAGAATTAATACACTGTACACTGGCGCACTCAATTTTTTTGAGAAAATTAAAGGATTTTAATTGGCCTTATGGTCCGAAAAATGCGATAATCTTACGTATTCAGCAGGGAATTAAATAATTATTTTTGCACCAAGTACCCGTGTGTATTGGTGTGGATGTTTTTCTGTGTACTAATTTTTTGACCTATTCCTTTTTTAGATGTGCCTTCGCTAACACCCCCAAGTACTTCCAGGTAAAAAGAGCAGGAGGAATCATCGTGAGGAAAGAATGGCTGTTGGATTGTCATAAGAGAAAACATAAGATCTGCTCTAAAAGGTAGGACAGTATAACAACATGAAAATTAAGATTGCTAAAAAAATATGGGTATTTTACAATCACGCCCCCCCACCCCATACTTCTTGCAGCCAACACCTAGTCAATTAAAAAAAGGAATGCACCAAGAATAGTATCATGATCAAGAAACCACTTTTTTGCAAAGTCATGTATTTTAGATATTGGCCTTGACAGAGATTGTTGCATTGACTCCACCCTCTCTTCTATAACTTGCCCACCAATAGATTTCTACAAAGCAGCCCCTAAATATACTTTTTACCTCTGCAACCACAATTGTTTAGCGTGTTCATCAATCAAAGTTCATCATAAAAGACATTTCTGGTGCCGTTGTCATCTGTTGTCAATCATTATTGCTACAGACAACAAATCATAAGCAAGAATAATTTTGCTGCATGTAATAACATTTTCTACATCTAAAGACAATACACAGAGTCTTCCACATTTTAGTCCGGGTTTGGTTTTAGTTCATCATGTGCAAATTAGGTACATGCTTGTTTGTTGCTGCCATTTTTTTTTTTATTGTATGTTTTATCAGGTATTTGATGGATGACGCAGAGTCCAGCTCTGAAAGTGAAATGGAATTGGGGGACCAGAGTGAAGAAGATGATAATATAGCGGTACATACAAAAAAAAAAAAAAAAAAAGAAAAAACCTACATCCAATGGGTAACTAAGTTATATGTCAGTCTGTCAATCTTGTTATTGCAGACTCCACAAAAAAAAGAGAACAAGATGCCCGCCAAAAAAACGCCAGAAAAAATTAATAAAGACGATGAATATGTTGGTTCATCTGAAGCAGGTTTGTATCGATCCGAATTGTTTTTCAAACTTTGGGTTAAAAAAAAAAAAAATGATATTCATGTCATTTCTTTTTACATTAGGTAGCTATGTTATGATTTCTGTAATACAGCCAGTGATAACACGTTTGTTAGTAACGCGTTACACATTTTTACAACCACATTTTTCAGTAACGGAAAATCTAATGCGGTGCTGTTTCCAAACCAGTACCAGATATGAGCATAATCCAATCCAGGACCAAGCTCGTAACTCGAGGTGCTCGTATCTTGAATCATTTTTTCCAATAAGAAATGACAGAAAAAAAATTAATCCAGCCCTTTAAAAAAAACTCCCTAATTATTAGTGGTAATAATGATGGGAAATAAACATGTTTTAAATTGGTGTAGAGACATTCACACACAAAACAAATTATAGTATATAAGGATTCCTGTGATATAAAATAAAATATGGTTTTAATTATGAGTTATTACCTTAGAAACAGACAATACAGTAGCGGCTAATGGCGGCATGTGGCACAGGTGGCGGAAAAGAGAAGAGAGTTGGCCCCGTACATAGACACTTTATTCCGTAGCGTACCTTAATGAGAGGGAAACCGTCAACGTCACGATGTCACATGACTATGCAAAAACAAATGTATTACAAAATAAAATATAAAAGGATTCATATTTATTTCATACAATCCTTTTGTTTTATTGAAATATTTAATATATTAATACATTTGATCAAAATAAATATTTGTATTGGCCATATAATAGACTTTATGCCGTGACATATTTCAGCCAATGGGGAGGCAGTGCCCCCCCCCGCAAACTCCGCCTACGAATATATACTGTTGAGTCTTATATTTCCATTATACAACGCTACTGTGCATGTATTTGTGTGGGAATGGGTAATATGGTCTAGGGAGGGTTGTAAAGGGTATATATAAACGTAAATAATATAATAACTATCATATAACTAGGAGATAAGAGAGGGACCGCTGTACTGTGGTATTAGTTCAAGTGTAATAAAAACAACATATTAAATGACTACTACATTAGTGCTGTACATGCTAATCTTGTCTTCTCTTTTTAATAAGACATTGGACACATGAGATCCTTGCACCTCATTAAGCCATTATTTTTCATTATTATTATTTAAAATGCTACCTATTTTACCCTCTGTGTTATGTCAACTCTGTCGTGTATAGTGAGTACAGTGTTATTATGGAGACTTTTGGTTTAATACAGAAAAATGTATTTCCGTTTGGATCAAAATTGGTTATAACGGAAAAATAAAACTTTCTGAAAGCACTTTCCTGCCTAGTCCTCATCGGCGATGTGACTAGATTAAATTGTGTTTTGTATTTGTAAAGCTAAGCGAAAAGTAATTGTTGATATGAATTATTAAAATAAAAATAAAAATTCATTTAATGTGTATATTATAGCATAGATTCACAAATTACATATTAAGAATAGAAATAACCTGGATCTATAAATAATGTTTACCTCTTATGTCCATTTTTACAGAAATGGACAGAAATGCCGAAGACACAGAGGATGAGCTGCAAAGGTAAACAACATACTTGACAGTAATGCACTTTTATGTACAGTAGACTACTTTGCAAATGTTTTAGGCGGTATAAAGCGTTACACTACACCTTTGTAGAGCATTTAAAAAAAAAAATTAATGTGTGTCAGTGTGGTTTAAATCACAGTCATACATTGCTTAAAATCCTTTTTTTTAAAATTGAATTGAAAAACGGCTGTATATATTTTACTAAGAATTTTGTACAGCACTTGTGTTTTGATTCATTTTAAGTATTTAACCTGTGTTCAGTGTTTATTTGCTACATTGCTGTTTTTCTCTAGCAAAATGATCCCTTGACATGTCTTTTAAAAAAAGGATCTCCAACCCCTGACCAGTACCGGCCCATAGGTCATTTGGTACAGGGTTGCAATGATTTTATTCATTTATTCCAGTAATATCCCTTTATTTTCTTCATTTAAAGATAAGCTTTAAAAATAATAATCAATATTTTTTATATATATATATATATATAGGTATATATATATATGTTTTTCTCTAGCAAAATGATCAAAATGATATATATATAGGTATATATATATATGTTTTTCTCTAGCAAAATGATCAAAATGATATATATATAGGTATATATATATATGTTTTTCTCTAGCAAAATGATCAAAATGATATATATATAGGTATATATATATATATGTATATATATATATATATATATATATATATGTATATATATAGGTATATATATATATGTATATATATAGGTATATAAAAATTAGGAACACTTTAAAACATTTTAACCAGGTAGTGTGAAGTCTTTTGGACTTTGAAAAGAAGGCCTGTATGTATAAATAAAAGTTTGCTCAGCATTAGGATCAGTTATCTAATCAATTTTGTACTTATCCAACCATTAATGTTATTAATTTAAAAAAAGCTAAAAAAGAATATTGCTTTAATTAAACCTTCCATGTTGGTTGACATTACAGTTGAGGACAGAAGCGCTATTTATACCTAATACCTTATTACCTATTACCAACCGTGTCAGGTTTAAAAAATAAATAAATAAATAAAATTAAAAAAGGTTTTTAAAACTGTCAACCGAGCTCAGCCACCAAAACTTTTCATCGTCCATAAATTTGTGGGCCAATGTCGTTTCACTTTGATGTTTGTTGTTTGCACACTGTAATGAGACAAACTTTTTTTGAAAGGGTGGAGGATAATAATAGGCAGAAAAAATCACCGAATGTTGAGATGGCAAAAAAGCAAGATCCCTATGAGGGATCTACAGACGAAAACACGGATGTTGAGACTGAAGGAGATCATCCGATCCCGGAGTTGCCAGGTGGGTGTTCTTCTTGTGTGATTGTGTGACTATATTGATATAGCCTTTCCTGTCTGAGGTGTTTGTAGTCAATGAACTCACAGGCAGAAAGTACTGTGATAGCGTTTTTGTTGTTGCAGTAATACCAAACAATTCATACTATACAGACCAAGAATTTTTTTTTTTTTCCTTGGTCTGTATTTTCCTCCTTTCTCTTGTACTGTTGCTTCTCTTTTATATTGTGCAGTCATTAACTTAACTACCTCTTGTAATTTTCTTTTTTTTTTTTTTCAGATTTCCTTAGGAAAGCATTTTTTGCTCTTTGGTCAATTTCCTCACAACGAGAGACGTCTTTTGTTGCGGTATATAATTGCATTCAATGGGTAAGAAAAAAAATTAAAGAGATTTACTACAAATGTTTTTTTTTTGTTTTTTTTAGAATAGTGGTATGGTTTATAATAAAATATTAATATCTGTTTCCAGAGTTGTTGAGGAATACATGTCAGAAAAGGTGCAGTTTGTGGTGACCAGTGAAGGCTGGCATGACTCTTTTGAAGAGGTAGGTTAACATAACCTTTATCCTTCCATCACAATTCTTTTCTTGCCCAAAGAAATGTATTCCAGGCATAAGATTATTGACATTTAGGAAAATGTTGCCTTAAGCACATGCCTTTTTGTGTTCAAAGCCGGATGGTTTGCCAGAATTTTTGCGAGGCCGACCGGTAGTCCTCCTCCATGGCCCCCCCGAACTTTTCCCAGACTCGAGTTTTTGCTTCCGCGACTACCCAAGCCGCAGTCCGCTTGGCCTGTCTGTACCC